AACTTATTTTGAACTGTCCTAGATAAGTGAGATGCGGTTTGCCATTGTGGAAATTACGTTGCCTTTCCCCAAATGGTTATGATTATTTCCTTGTGCAATGATTGTATACTATACTTTGCTAGAGAGTTTCTCAATCTCAAATGAAGACTCCATGTTCTTTAGTTCCCAGGGTAAATTTACAGTAGTCATCTGTCTGAACTCTAACTCAAAGCTTTACAATAGCTATTGTCTTATCTAATATTGCTTCGGTCAACAGAACCATCTTTTCTCCTTTTAGTTCCTTTAAAAGTCTTGAGTACAAGCCACATGGTCTTGGTCAGTTACTTACATGTGGCTTGTCAACCAGGTCTAGAAAATGTTGTATACTCATAATTTGTCCCAATCCTGATCAAACAGCCCCAAAAGATAATTTGAAATACATAAGCCAATGCGCTATGAATTATGGGGAAGAGATAAACAGCCCAAGTTCCAAAAACAGGAATTAGGCCAGTTTGGCTGGAACGTAAAATTCCTAAAGCACAAGTCATGTGAATTTAGGTTGGAAAGGTAAGCTGAAGTCACATTGCTCTGGGCTTCATATATTGAAGAGTTTGTATTTTATCCCAGTGGTATCAGGGGAGTGACATGGTCAGTATTGTTCTTTGGAAAGGTCCTTTTGGCATCTGTGTGGAGAATGGGTTAGAAAGGGGAGGTGAAGCTAGGTGGAGCAGTGGATAGAGCCCTGGAGTCAGGAGGACCTGAGTTCAAATCCAGCCTCAGACATAACACTCAATAGCTACGTGACTCTGGGCAAATCACTTAACCCCAATTGCCTCACCAAAAAAAGAGAGAGAGAGAGAGAGAGAGAGAAAGGGGAAAGACTGGAAGCCAGGAGTTCAATTAGGAGTCTATTGCAATAGTTCAGCTGCTTCAGCTGCTTGGACTATTTCCCTTATAAAGGCTAAAGTAAATAGTTGAAAAAGAACTGATGTTGTCTGAATACAGACTGAAACATACTATTTTTCTCTCTTTCTTATTCAAGTCTTCGTGCACAAAATGACTAATACAGAAATGTTTTACATGGTTGCACGTTGTCTAGTTGGCTTCTTGCTTTAAACAACAAAACAAAAACAAAACAAACCCCCCCCTTTTTTACTGAAATTTGAATTTACTGAATTTGAATCCTTCACAAGGCACTCCTCGTGTTTTTTTTTTTTTTTTAGCCTGCTCCATTTTTTTGTTTTCAATAGATCTGTCATGCTTGATCAAGTTCCTTATTCTCACTTAGGCAATCCTTCTAATTAAAAAAAAATAATAAAAAAGATATCTAGTTTCCCCAAGTAGGTGCCCATTGATTGAGAGAGAGCTAAAAAATTGAGTCATCTGTAAGTCTAGTTCTTATTCTGACAATTAACTGTGACAATTCCAAAGACTTATGAGACTGACATTCTTGTTTTCTTTCTATTGTAAAAAGCTTCATTCTTCCTGAGAACAAGCAATCCATTCAGGACACTTTTGCTTCAGAGTGTATTCTGTATTTCTCTGTATTCATTTCATTAGTAGAACTGAATTGGCACAAAATCAATAACAAAAAATCATGTTTCCTATTTCCCTCACTCCACCATCCGTTCCACCCTTTAGCTTCAGATTTTAGACAGAGAGTAATAAAAACCAACCCGTCTTTTTTTTTTTTTTAGTAACTGTCAAGTCTCTGAGAATTACCAAATGGCTAAGCATTATTAGCATTGCTAGAGTAACCTGAATGTCATACCAACTTACTCTTTTCCATATTTAATGCCTGCTTTTAAACATTGGAGGTAGGAGCCCACTGACATAAAGTGTGAAAACAGGCTATTGTCTGCATCCTTGCTACAATTTCACCTTGAGCTGTGCCTTCTATCCCCAAAATAGCAACCTCTCTTCAAAATACCAGTAATTTGAGTGCAAAAAGAAAGTTCAGATCATCTACCTAACTTTCCACACAGACTGATAACAAAAATAAAAGTTCCTTAGGGGTAGGGACTATTTTCATTTTTGTCTTTGAATCTCTTGTGCCTAGCAAAGTGTAAATAGAAAATAGAAAATTGCTAATAAATGACTGTTGAATTGAATCGAAATGGACAAAGTTTAGAAATCTTTTTCAAAGGATTTGAATTATCCGTGACCAATGTGGATGCATGCCCTCTTCCTCCTAACCTTTCTGTCTATTACAAACTCTTATTTCTAGGTTTGGACAAAGTGATGTATGCATTTTTTTTAAGCATGTGTGAGATAGATGAAGTTTCCTCAGTACTAAAACTCATAAATCCCCTTTGTATCCCCAAAGCAGTAAAATGAATCTGCAAACATTAATCTGTGCTCTAATTCCTTTAGCAAGGTAAAAATTACGAAAGACTGCTAGCTTAACCACCAGGGGCTTCCTGCTTATCTATCTCTAGGCCGGACTTCCAAATGGTTATCAAAAGTCCTTCTGATTCTTTGTCTCTAGGCAAATATTTCCAAATAAGGGTCTTAGAAAGTAGATTGTGCACCCTGAAACCCAGCCAATGGGAAGAAGGGTTCAGAAATGGGGAGGGGGTATCGCGGTAGGGCTATAAAACCTTGCTTCTCACAGCCAGCAGGTGCACTCCCTGGCTGTCCCTCGAGCAACGAGGGCTGTGCCCTTTCTCATGAGAAAGAATAAAACCTTTTCTGATCTCTGACTCAGCATCCCAACTTTTAATTCTAGTGTGGCCGTCGTCCCACACAAGCACAAAACTCTTCCTTCCAGAAAGCAAGTCACCTAAGGGAAGTAAAAAAACAAAACAAAACAAAACAAGAAAACAAAAAACCAAGAGCTGCTACAGTTACTTTTAGTGTGGCTTCTGTGTCTGAATAATAAAGCAGACTGTTAAATTTGTGTCAATATAATGCAAATGATGAGTGTCTCCTAGAGTGACTTTGAACTGATAAGTTGTGAAAATTCACATTCAACCTTCTAGGTTTATAGTCCTGGCTTTGTCATTGGTTGTTCAATCTTCGGCAAGTCATATGACACTTCTCTGAACCTCAGTTATCTTTTTGTAAGATAAAGAAGTTGGAGTAGATGATCTCATAGGTCCCTTCAGTTCTATCTGAAATAAAATAAAAGTCTACAGTTTTATCTACCTGTATATCCCAAATTTCAAAATATTAAAAATTCAATTTGTGGAATATTCTGGGTTGAAAATATATAGGTTCTGTCATCAAAGTTTTGAAGATAATTTTATCTGAATAGTTGAGCTTCCAGTAATAGTTTTAAAAAATAACCTAGCATTAAATCTTTTAGCAGAGAAATCTCTCTGGTAAAGAGCATTAGAGGCACACCCTTAACTGGGGAAAGCTACCTGCTGAGTTAGAAAGAACACTGGACAGGAAGGTTCAGGTGCCAGGTTTCGTCACTTACTGGTGATTTTTGACAAGTTACTCCTCCTAGCCTGTTTCTTTGTCTGCAAAATGGGGATAATAATATCAATCTTGCCTTCCTCATGGGAACATTTTGGGGAGCCAATAAAATGAAGTCATGTGAAAATGCCTTGAAAACTGTAAAACTCAATATAAATGTAAGCAATTATTGTTTGTATAGACATTTCTGCTTTTTTAGCGGCCTATAAACATTCTATTCAGGAGGTGAGGTGGCCCAGTGGATGGAGTTCAGGCCTGGAGTTTGGAAGACCTGAATTCAAATCCAGACACATACTGGCTGTGTGACCCTCATCAAATCACTTCACCCTGTTGGCCTCAGTTTCCTCATCTGTAAAATGAGCTGGAGAAGGAAATGGCAAAACACTCCAGTATCTTTGCCAAGAAAACCCCAAAGGTCATGGAGAGTTGGACATTACTGAGACAATTAGACAACCATAAATATTACATTCAAAGCCCTGGTTAGTCCATGGTGCCCCATGGAATGTAGTCATCCTGACAACTACCCAACACTCAGATAAAGTAAAATTCCAATCTTCTTACCTTTCAAGCAGCATTTTGGATTTGGCCAATGTTTTTCTCCTAATGAAGCCTTGAACTACTTTTTTGTTTTATTACCAGGACGGAAATCCTGTCAGTTGAGATAAAGTGTAACTGAAATCTTAGATACTTACTAGCTATCTGACCTTGGAAAAGTTGTTTAACTTGACTCAGTCTCCTCCTCTGCAAAATGGAGAGAATGATAGCAGCTACCCCTCAGGGTTGTTGTGAGAATCAACTGAGATAATATATGTAAAGTACATTGCAAACCTTAAAGAGCTATATAAGTGTCAGCACACACAGACACACTTTTAAAATTAATCAGCATTATTAACTTTTCTTCATCGCTTTTTTAAAAGTCTAGACAAACTGCAAAATAATAAATCAAGTCCTGAATTGTAGTCTTTGCCTATTTCCAAAGTGAAAATAAATGCTCACACTGAAAATTTAGTTCTCTACAGCTGGTAAAGGTTGTCTCTAGATTAAGACACCTTTTTCGGAAGCAACGGCAATATTGTACGGTGGAAAGTAATGGGGGGGGGGGAAGGGGAGATTTGGACTTAAAAGGTCTGTATTCCAATGGATCTGTGAGCCCATTAGCAAATCTCTCCCTCTCTCCAGGCTCCAGTTTCCTCTTCTGTAAAATAAGGGAGACAGATTCCTCCCAGGGAACAGGACTTCTTAACCTGGAGTCTGTGAACTTTTTATTATGGATAAATAGATACTATGTTTATATACTATGTATATATACTACATATATATACATATATATATAATAGATACTATATTTCAACCTACTTTGTAATTATCCTTTGTAATCCTATGTATTTTATGTTATGCTTTTAAGAAGATTATTCTGAGAAGGGGTCCATAGATTTCCCCAGACTGCTGCCCAAGGGATCCATGACAACTACATAAAAAAAGGTTAAGAATCCCTGCATTCAAAGACCTCTAAATCTCCTTCCAGCTCTAGGTCCCACAGAAGCAGTCCTCAGATTAGCTTCTGAAACCTCAAGGGTCCTAGACTAAAATGTACCTACCTGGGAGATTGTAGGAATGGCCTTCACCTTCCCGTGCTCTTCACCACATCAGCCTCAGAATAGAACCCACAATTCTGTCGCTGGAACAAAGGTTCTTTCCATCTCAATTGTCCGCCAAAATGGCTGGGCCCACTGCCAAGTTCACGGAGCCTGCGCCTCTGCTAATAGAGAAGACAGCCCATGATGTCAGACTCAGCTTCTTAAAGGAGACCTGGGCCTAGAGAGAGCCTGATGGAGACTGGCTGAAATATGAAGGATGAAAAGGTTCTGAACAATTAGGAAGGTGGGCTTTCCAGAGGAGCAGGGTCCATTCTCAAGCCTCTACCAGTGCCTGGATGGAATACATCTCAAGATCACCTAACTTCTCTCCAAATCCACTCTGCCTGATACTGAGATCACTAATTCCTCCCCTACAGGAGTGCCTCTATAGATTTCTCACCCCAAGGTTTACCAAGGGAGCAAAAGAGAAACTGGCGAAACTCCTTTCAGTCATGCCTTACTCTCCATGACCCATTTGGGGTTTTCTTGGCAAAGATACTGGAGTCATTTTCCATTTCCATAGAGATTACTAAACTCCAGTGGGAGATCAGAATTCACAAGGTAGAAAAGGAAAGATTTATACTAACAGCAGGCAGATAAAGAAACCAGACAAGAATTCAAAGAGTTAATTTGCTCTGTTTCCTGTTAAACGGTTGTTTTCAGACACAGGACAGAGTCTCAACACCGTCTCTCTCCAATACCTGAACCTTCTCCAACAGCTGATAAATGATACCAGAGGATCTTCTTGGGAAGGTAGTAACATGCTTCATTCATTCACTTTCTAATACTTTCTCTCTGAAATCTCTCCTGTTCATAAAACTCTAGGGAAATTCTCTACAATTGGGCTCATTCTTACCTTAGAATGGATTTAAAGTCTCTTCTGGTTTGAAATGCTGAAAAGAAGAGAACTCTCCCAGAATTTTGGGATTTCAATGAATTTACTAATTTTGTATATTGTAGATGAAAAACCAAGCTGAGATGAAGAGAAGTTTTGGAAGGAAATGAAACTGAAGAGTGTTTCAGGAGAAATGAAACTAAGCATTTCGCTGCTTTTCATCCAACTTGCTTCCCCACAGAAAGTGAAAGGTTACATAATATATTTCCTAGTGAGGTGGAAGAAAGAGAACTATTCTAGGAAATTAATGAAATCCGTACTTAGCTTGGCATAATCCCAATGAAGAGGTATCCTAGGGTACTGAGGAAGCTGTCCTAACTTCAGGTACTGAGATCATGAAAATGACTGACCCAAGTGGCCCAAATCAAATAACAATATACACACATATACATATATGTACATGTACATATATATGTGTATATTAAATAAAAAACAACCACCACCACATCTACTTACCTTACAGGAATTGAGAAAAGTGTTTTGTAGATCTCAAAACTCTGGATAACTGTTATTCCCCTAAAAGGGGAATGGGGAAGTGGTAAGGCAGAGATCTTGGGTCAAATAGTTTCCAAGACTGACCACCAGATGGTGAATTAGCACAGGACTGATTGTCATGGAGAAGGGTGGGAGAGGAGAGGAGAGTCATTCCTAATTTGATGCATGTATGGGATGTTCTCAAGTCAAGTGTTGGTGATTCAGGAATCTATTGATTTATTGCTAGCAAATTTACTTTCCTAATTATATTTGGATCAGATTAATATTATAACAAGTTTTCATTTCCTGAATATACAAACCAATGGAGGAAGGAAGCAAGAGGGACAAAAGGAAGCCACCTAGGAATGAAAATACATTCATGTGTGTAATTGTGTTAGCTAAAGTCACAAGGGAGAAGTATCTTTCTTCAAACTTCCTCTTATTTGAATTTTTTTTGTCACTTATTCGAATTTTTTTGTGAGAGAAAAACAGGAGAAATAGAATAAAGAATTTTGAATAGTCTTTTCTGACAGGACTTAATAATCTTCAGGACTCAAGACTTTCTGAAGCTGAGGCACATTATTATAGGGTATGTTACAGTCAGGATTCCTTTTATGTATGTCAGACTAAATAACCTGTGAGGATCTAGAGTCAGGAAGATTCATCTTCCTGAGTTCAGATCTGGCCTCAGACGCTTACTGGCTGTGTGACCCTGGGCAGGTCACTTAACCCCATTTGCCTCAGCTTCTTTGTGTGTGAAAAGAGCCAAGAAGGAAATGACAAACCACTCTGGTATCTCTGCCAGGAAAAACCCCAATGAGGTCTTGAAGAGTTGGATGTGACCAAACAACAACTCTCACAGTCTGTGATCTAATGATCTGACCTCTTAGTGCTATTACTTTATTCTGGTTTGGGTTGGTTTGTTTTGTTTTGTTTTGCTAAACCTCACGAGTCACTATTCACTGAGGCAATGTCTTACAGTATAGTGCGATGAACCCTGGGTCCAGATATAGAGGGATCTGGGTTCAAGTCCCAGCTCTGCCACTTAACCACCCCATGTGACCTTGGGCAAGTCACTCTGAGACTTCATTTCCTCATCTGTAAAATGGGCATAATTATAATCACACTAACCACTTGAATGAATCTCTCTGTAAAGATCAAATGAATGAAAGTGTAGTAAGTGCTTTGTAACTCACTATTGATTAATATATGTGAGCTGCCATCATGATTATTACCCTGGTTCAGAGTAGGGAATGGGTATATATTTAGAGTGTAGTCAACCGAAATTTGGTGAGTTTTGTTTTTGGAGGTTTATACCATCTTCCCTTTTTTTCCCTCAGAGAAGTTTTGTTGCTATATTTTATTTTTATATTAAGACATCTTTCAGCCATCACGTTAGTTGGGAGAAGATACTAAGCTGGGTGTCAAATCATGTCTTATCCTACTGGAAAAAATACCAAACAAACACCAAACCGGGAGTCTACAAAGAGCCAAGTCTTGGCTCTGAGCTGAAGTATCTGAGTTGGAATCCTCACTGCCATTTACTCCTTAGGTGAGGTTGGCCGGGTGACTTAACCTCTCTGGGCATCAGTTTCTTCAACTATAAATTGAGGTGGGTACCCTGCATGTCTGCTATGGTCCTTTCCACATCTAGAGATATGATACCTCGGTCTCTTATTTTGTTGCAGTTGGGTGAGAGCCTAGGACAAGAGCAGTGAGCTGCTCTGGATGGAGAGTAGAAGAAGGACAGATTTCATTTAGTTCCCATCAAAAGCATTCATCTTTATTTAATCTAATTTAGAGTGTTCTATGCCAGCTCCAACCTTACACACTCCATCTGCAAATAAAAAAAAAACTCAACCAATTTCCTGATCTCTGGAGTTGGTGGAGAAGAACTTATAGCTTTTCTCCAATTACTCCTCTCTGACCCCTTTAGCAGTCATAGGAGGTGGGGATGGGGGCGTAGCACTGGGTCAGCCAGGGCCTCTTGGGGCACATGGTAAACGGCAGCAGGGCACAGCTCAGGGCACAAAGATCAAAATAGGATGCCATTTTCTCATTGGTCCTCTGTAGGGGGTGATGGGGGTGGAAATCCACTCTCCACTCCCAGCTGATCCAGGAGCCCCTGATCCAGTCCCATGCCCAGGACACGGGCCCCAGCGGCTGTCCCTCCTTCTGGCCCCTGGTCTAAGAGAAGGGTTTGATGAAGCCATAATCCATACACTTGATGAGGCAGTCCCTGGCAGCCTCCACCACCTGTTTCCTCTTCTCATCAGGTTCCTGCTTGCCCACGAAGGTCAGAATCTCCAGCAGCTCACTCTCCACCAGCTTCTTGGCCAGCTCCTGATCAGCTGCCAGCAGATTGTAGGCAATGACAATGCCGCGGTGCTGGACTGACAGACGGTCATGAAGGCAGAGTCGCTGCAGGATCTCCAGCCACTGGGGTGTCTGGAAGGAGAGTACCCCACCCCCCAGAGGGAATGGGGCAAGGTTAGAGGTCAGAGCAGGTAGGATTACCCAGATAAGGCACACTGTTTATTTACACTGGGAGAAATAATGGAGGACCCACAGGATCTGGTCAAGTCTGAATAAGTTCTAAACTCTCAGAGAATAAGAGTATAAGAATAAGAAAAGTTCTATGACAGTCAGCACCTGATATGAACAATGCCAAATGAAGTTCTTGGGTCAAGGAAGAAAGTCATTCTGCTAAATAGAGGTTGGGCCAGACTAACCCCAGTGACAGACCTCTCTGGGCAAAGCCCTGTCCTTTCTATGCTCTCCCCATTTCACCGATAAGGAAGTTGAGTCCCAGAGAGGTAAGGGCGCTCATCAGATCTTGCACTGTGAGCCAGGAGGGTAGGAGAAGGATCTCTCCGCCTCCGAAGGTGCAGGCCATATCCCCTGCTTTCCCTACGTGGTCTCCTTGCTTCTGTCAATCCAGAAGCCCGTGAAGGTGTCAGCTCTAGACTCCCACTCTAGTGTGTATGTGTGAATATGTAGGGGTGAGTGTGGGGGAGGGGTTTGTGCAGGTTCCACCCTCCCAAGCCCCTGCAGCAGCTACTACCTCATCTTCATCAAGGGGCACAATTGGTCTCTTCTATTGCCAACTCCAGTGGTGCCCAGATGGTGCAACAATACAAATAACACCCCTCTGTGAGCCTCAAGGGCCTCCCAAAAGTCAGGGCCAAGGCTGAGAATAGAACCAGCAGTCTGCATTCCTCCTCCAGCCTCGTCTATGACAGCGGTATAAGAAGAAGAGAGTCCATGTAGTACAGCAGAAATTGTGCTGGGTTTGGAGTCAAAAAACCTGGGTTCAAATTCTGCTCTACACTTACTACCTGTGTGACCTCAGGAGAGTTTCTTAACCAATTTGGGCCTCAGTTTCCTTATCTGTAAGAATGAGAGATGAGGGGTAGGTCCCTTCTGGCTACAAATCTATGATTTTAGGCACCAGGGAGGGCCCTGCAGTCTGGTCATCCTTCTCCCACTTGCTGCCCATGGCAGGCCTTCGTAATTACCACTTGGGTCATCTTGTGGCAGAGCTTCTTATGGGCGGCAGTCAGCATGGCCAAGGCTCCGGCTGCTGCGTTCTGGACCTTGTCATCGTCCTCCCCACACAGCAGCACCACCAGCTTCAGTCGGTCATTCCCATCAGCCAGGAACCGTTCCTGTACCTGCCAAAGATGGGGGAGAGAGGCACAGGTGAAGTGCCCACACAAAACTACCCACTGGAACCATGTGATGGAATCATTTAGTGGCCAGTGATACGACTGTTGGGCAACAGATCCCAAGGCAGTCCAAGAGAGAGGTAAAGGTCCACATACTCCAAAATATTTATCGTAGCTCTTGATTTCAATATATCCCTCCCTTGGTAACAAAGAATAAAAAAGGGAAAAAATGATCAACTCATCAACAGAGTCTGACAGTAGGTGCGACTTTCTTTACACATTCCCCTACCTCTACGAAGAAGGGAAGGAAGTCCAATTTCTCACCTCTCTAGGGGAGGCCAAGCTTGGCCATCATCATTACCCAGCATCCAGTGTTGTTTTTAGATCTTTTTTATTTACATTATTGAAGTCATTGTGTGTAGTGCCAAGAAGACCCGAGTTCAAATATGGTTTTAGATAACTTACTAGCTCTCTGCCTCTGAGTAAGTCACTTTAATCTCTGTTTGCCTTGGTTTCCTCAACTATAAAATGGGGATAATAATAGCACTCACTTCACAGAGTTGTGGTGAGGATCAATTGAGATAATATTGGAAAAAGTGCTTAGCACATAGTAGGTGCTTAATAAATGCTCATTGTCTTCCCTTTCCTTCTCTTTCCCCTAGTCTTTTCCTAGTTCTGTCATATCTGGACATTTTGTGGTAGCCAAAAACTGGAAACAAAATGGGTGCCCATTAATTGGGAAATGGCTGAATAAATTGTCGTACATGAATGTGATGAAATAGGATTATGCTATAAGGCATGGTAAATATGAGGAATTCAGAGAAACCTAGGAAGGCTTGTTTGAAATGATGCCGAGAAAACAGACGAGAGAGACAGAACAATATGCATAAATGCTACAGTAATGAGAAGGAAAACACCAATAAGAGACAGGAGAACTCAGACAGATGCAATAGCCAATCTTGACTCCAGAGGACTAAAAATGAAGCATATCTTCCTCTTCTCAGAAAAGAGGTGGTGGACTATAGCTGCAGAATGAGGCATACATTAGCATGGTCAGAAGTGGTCAATATTGTATTGTTTTGCTTAACTGTACTTATTTGTCACAAATTAAGGTTGTCCCCATTCCTATGTTGTTTATTAAACGATAGTGTTATATTTTGGTAAATGATTTGGGACATTTAAGTGTAAGGCATTTAATAAATTCAATCAGAAAAAAAACTCAACAACAAATTAAGGTTCTCTTAGGAGGGGTGAGCATTGGAAAGTAACACTAATGTAAAAAACAACAACCTGTAAAATACTAAAGAAACAACAACCAGAGGAGGGAAGGCTGTGACCTGAGTGCCTTCCCCTTGTCTTAGGCTCTCTTTATTCAAGCAGCTCCCCTAAATGCCACCTCTTTCAGAAGGCCTTTCCTGATTATTTGGAAAATAGAGCACAAGCTCTCCTAGTTTAAACATGTAACCCCAATAATAAATACCTCCTCTTGGTTATCCATAATAATGCAGGGGAGCAGAAACACAGAATCCCCAATAGTGCAAAATCCCAATTTCTGTTTGCCTTTGAAATTATTTTCATCCCAGCACACTTGTCTTCCTATGGATGATAGGCCTCGGAGAATATGGAATTGATTTTGCAATCAATCCCAGAGGGTGATGGGACTTGGGAGAAGGGAGCAGAAGTTGACTAGGTGGTAAGGGGGAATCCAGCCTGGGATTAAACCTCTGAATCACACAATGGTTTGCTATTACTAGCTGTCTGACCATGGGCAAATGTCTTGCCCTCTCAAGGTCTGTTTCCTCATCTATAAAACAAAAGTGTAAAGAAAGATCATAGATATTAAGGGCCTTTGAAAGCCTTTAATCTGCCTCACCCAATTTCATTCTCTATTTTATAGTTAGAAACGGGTAGGAGACACAGTGGACAGAAAAGTAGTCTTGTACTCAGGGAGACCTGAGTTTGAATCTTACTTTAGACACTCACTGCATGGCTATGGGTCACTTCTGTAAAATAGGAAAAATTATGCCATCTACGTCCTCAGGTTGTTATAAGGATAAAATGAGATTGTGTTTGTAAATCACTTAAGCCCCTGAATAATGCTAATGATTGTTATCACAGTTGAAGAAATGAAAGTATAAAGAGGTTATGACTCATCCTAGGTCACCTAAGTAGTGAGTGGCAGAGCCAAGATTTGAACGCAGGTCCTTTGACTCTAAATCTAATGCTCTTCCCTCTTTGTGATACCTCTCATAATCACTCCATTTGATTATAAGCTCCTTGAGGGCAAAGCTGTCCTCAGATACTTACTAGTGTCTGGGCAAGTCATGCCCCCTGTTTGCTTCAGTTTCCTCATCTGAAAAATGGGGATAGCACCTACCTCCCAGGGATGTTGTGAGGATCAAACGAAATAATAATTGTAAAGCTCTTAATACAGTGCCTGTCACATAGTAAGTGCTAACTAATTGTTAGTTATTATTATCATTTTGACTCTTTTTGTATCCCCAGTGCTTAGCACAGTTTTTGGCACATAGTAAGTACTTAATAAATGTTCATTGACTGGTTGATTGATAGGTCCCTCCAGCTTTAAATCTCTTATTCCAGTGTGAGTTAATTCAGATTCTGGTCCCTTGTTTCTTGAAAAAAAATATTTCATTGATATGGGTATTGCCCCGAACCATACTATTACAATGCCTCCATACTTTAATGGATGACCATCATGACCATCAGTCAGTCAATGGTCAGCAGTCAACAACCATTTATTAGTCAGTTAGTCCATAAATATTTATTAAGCACCTACTATATGCTAGGCACTGAGGATACAAAAAAAGGCAAAAGACAGACCCTGCCCTTGAGGATTCCAGTCTAATGAATGGGACAACTATGTACAGACAAGCTATATACAGGATAAATTGGAAATAATCTACAGAGGGAAAGCACATAGCCCGAAAACTCCATAGCCAACTTCTTCCAGCAATGAGCCTCTTTGATGAGCTAGGCTGATACTCTAACATGATCAATCATCTCAAAACCTTTCACCTGCCAGCATTTACATTCTTCTGGCACAGCCTTCTAGAACCCTAACTTAAGCCCTTTCATAGAGAAAATATTTATTTCCATGTCCATCTATATGTCATCACATGATTCTGTCCCAACTCCCAAGAGCTTCTATGAGTATACCGTGTATTCGACTGGGAATTCCCTTGGGCAGGGATAAAAAGAGGTGATATTTCAATGGGGATGATTATTTCCATCTTCTTGAAGAAAACTTACCTATCTCTGCCTTGTCCCTTAAAATGTTGGCCTCAGTCCCAACCTTGCACCCAGAGCCCCCATACCTCTTTGTTGACCACCATGTTGCACATGCACTCAGTGGCTGCCTGCCGAAGCTGGTCATGGTTTTCAAACATGTAATTCTCAATGTCTGGCAGAGCCTTCTCCTTAATTATCTTCTGCCTGATTGGTCAAGAGAGACACTTATTAAGTCCATCCCCTATCTCCCAGGAGGTCTCTACCTTAACTTCTCCCAACCACCCTACTAGCTTTCTGTACAAACCTTAGGGAAAGGGCCCCCCGCCCCCGCCAATCTCCTTTGGCATCCCAGGATCCACAGTCAGGATAGTCTTTCTTAACTCTAATCTAAATCCTTCCTGCTGCTACAGTTTCTGTCTGTTGTTTTTAAACCTATCCTCAGTGGGAGAGTGGTACCTTTAGTAGAGTCTGGGTATAGATTTGAAGCAATAGCTCCTGACGAAGAAGGGTAAGAAGGAATTGACCCTTCCTGACTGCAAACTTTGCTTCCCCTCCTCCCTTCTACTCTACTCACCGGAGTTTTTCACTCCTGCCTGACAGATTAGTCAGACCCAGGAGAGCTTCATAGTTCTGGAGTCCATCCCGCTGTGTGTCCAGGAGTCGTACCAATGGACGTACTACCTCATACACCTGCAGGAAATGGAGAAAAGCAGAAGGAGATGGCATAGGGTGGCTATAAAGAATTAAGAAGCATTCATGGAGTAAAGGTCGATATATACAAAAAAAAGTTTACAGCAGCTAGTTTTTGAAGTTGCAAACAAATGGAAGGAAAGTAGCTAGATAAAAAATGGCCCAAAACTATGGTATGTGAGTGTAATGGAATGTTAGCAAATCCTAAGAAATGAGAAAAATATGAATGTAAAGTAAGGGAGTGTTCACACACACACACCAGCTCAGGTGACAGTCATAGACTGTAGTCACATATGATGAAGTTTTCATGTGTTTATAAAGTGTAACATCCTGTGATCCCTTTATGAAGTACAAACACCTCTCTGATTTAGTCAAGTAGGGAATATTTAAATTGGCTAAACAAATTAGCTACATCCCTAGGACTTTAAATAGCTAAACCTTAAACAAATTTCAGCAGTTGAGAGTAGGGGAGATTGCCAGCTGGGTGTTGCCTGCGGAGGAAATCCCTACAGGGAGGGAGGAGGGGATTTCTTTCTCCTCTCACTACTTATCCAAATCAGCTTTGAAGGGAAGTTACTGGGCCACAGAAGACATACATCCATCAGAGAGCAGAGACATATATTCCAGATGGACATAATTACAAAGAGACAGTCAATTCAAGGGATGAAGCACTTTCAAGAAGAAAGACCCCCTAGAGAGAGAAGAGTTGGAATGTGAAGACCAGACCCTGGGAACCCAGCTGAGCAACCCACCAAGGAAAGACTCTGTATCCATGGGAAGCTGGGAGAGGACCCTACAAAAAGAGGGAGGACTTCCAGGTCCTTCAATGCTAAGAGTTGTGAGTTGCCTTTGCTATAAGTGTATTTCTACACATGTGCCTCACTAGTATTATATTCCAAGTCTAAGCCCATTTTTCTTATTGATGCTGTGTGTATTTGTGGGGTAGTATGACCCAAATTTATAGGAAGAATATTTTATAACTACTCTCCTTGCTATGCCATCTGAGTACATGTCTTTGCTAAGAGTTCATTGTGTCTACTGGCTGATTTTTAATGGGGAAAAATACTGGTGGGGGTCTGTCAGCTATAGTAATAGGAGTGGCCACCCACAAGATAACCCTGGAATTTGAGGTAGCAATCATCCTGGGTACCAAACCCAGAAGTGAGATTGTAAGTTGGGGTTGTTGCCAGAGGTAAAGAATTCATAGAAACCTAGGAAGATTTGTATGAACTGATATAGAACAAAATAAGCAAAACCAGGAGAATAATTTGCATGGTGACTAAATTAATGTAATAGAAAACAACATTGAAAGAACCTAGAGCTCTGATCAATTATGTGACAAGTTGTGACTTCAGAGGGCTGATAGTGAAGCATACCTCCTGACTTTTGTCAGGTGCATATACAGGTGCATAACAAGGCACCATGGCCATCTTCGTTTATTTTGCTTGGCCTCTTTGTGGTAGGGGATGGTCCTGTTGGGAGTACAGTGAGTAATTGGGAAATGGTGGCAATGTGAAAAAAAAATCATTATTTTTTTTAAAAGAAGGAAGGAGCCTATTATATAAATAAGGAACTTTCATGAACCAACTTAGTTTTTTTAAATACATATTCAAACTGTTGCATCGTAAGACAGAGAGAGAAAATCAGGGGCGAAGGTGGGGAGGAGACAGAGAGAGAGAGAGAGAGAGAGTTGAGAGTTAGTGGGAAGGGAGAAAAGACAGAATCCCTGAATGAGAAGACATTTGAGGTAGAATGGGCTCCTCCAATTCCCTATCCTCCCCCAACCCCACCATATATCATACCCACCCTTTCCCCAGGAAAAGCAATGTCAGGGTTGGAGACAGCTGCAATCTTTGCCAAAGCATGGGCAGCCTTCACCTTGCCCACATCAGTGCCTTCGAGAGCCAGCGGTATCAGAGCCTAAGGAACAGAGTGGAAGTCAGCACTGTAGACACCTTCTCCCCACTTCAGTGACATGGAAAGAATATTGGATTTGGAATCTAGAACACCTGGGTTCAAATCCTGACTTTGCTACTTATTATCTATGTAACCTTAGGCAAGTCAATCACCCTTTCCAGTCCTCAGTTTCCCCATCTGTAAAATGAGAGGGTTGAACTAGATGATCTCCGAGGTTCTTTCCAGTTTTGTGCTCATGCCCTCTGTCTATCTATCTGTCTATTTTTCAAAGCTCAAGAAGATTGGGGCATCCTATATATAACACTTGAACATACATGGAAAATAACTAATCCTAGTCTGGCTTACTTTAGGCATCCAAGCAAACTTCCAGGGTCATCTGCCCTGACTTTATAATAATAGCTAACATTTATATAGTACCCACCACATACCAAGAGCTTTATAATCATTATTTCACAACAACCCTGAGAGGTAGGTACTATTATTATCCCCATGGTACAGGTGAGGAAACTGAGGCAGAAGCTAAGTGATTTGCCCAGGATCATACAGCTAGTAAGTGTCTGAGGTTACATTTGAACTCAGGTCTCCCTGACTCCAGTCTTAGTGCTCTATCCACTGAGCTACCTAGCTGCCTCTAGTGCTTAGTAAATCTATCAATCAAGCTTATACTACTAAAGTCTAAGATCTATAATTTCATTGGTATTGAGAAATCCCAGTGAAGAAACTCTCTCTACCAATACAGATCAGTACCTGTCTTCAACTTAACAGTCTTAGGGATTTGCCTTGGGCCTTGAGAGATTAAGTGACTTGGTCAAGGTCATACAACCAATATGTTTCAGAGGTAAGACTTGCACCCAGGTCTTCTTTACTCTAAGAGCATCTCTCTAGCTACTGTACCACTCTGCCTCTTTAGGAAAGACAGATAATAATAACAACGCATTCTATCACACTTAAAAGTTTGCAAAGCACTTCCTTTGCAACAACCCAGTGAGGGAGGTGGTGTAAGTACTATCCTTGTTTTACATATGAGGAAACTGAGGTTCAAAAAAAATGAAATAACTCACCCAAGATTATAGTGCCAGCAAATGGTGGTGTCTCACCTGTAAGTATCAAACTATGCTTTCCATTAATCCAAAAAATAGAATATTGTGTACTGTTTCACTGTTCCCCTCTATTAGCACAGATAATTGAAGAGTTGAGTAAATTCCTAGATGAGGTTGGAGGTCCATCCTGTGCATGTTCACTGAACAGTAGATGCTACCCAGGACATACCAAGAGACTGTTCTACACACTCCCTATCAGAGCACCTGCTCAATGTCATCCCCCGTTATAATCCCCACAAGTTCTCCTCACCCCATCCCCCAACATTACCTTGCCACCACCTTGAGCCACAATGGTGCCCCGATCCCTTGCATTGTCACACAGCGCCAGGAATACCCTGTTAGGAGTAGAGGTTAAAGGAGTGGTCCCTAAGCACTAATATACCCCTTCACCCAGGTTCCTCTTCAGTCCTTTGGGGCTTTAGGGTTGAGAGAATCTGAACACAAGCGAAATCAAGACAGCAAAAGAGGGATAGTGAGGGACAACAGAGAAGAGAACCAAGAGAGTGGATCTAGTATTGATGCAACCAGGCTCAGTCCCTAGAGAATTTCATACTGTATCACTAGTTTTCTTCCCCATTAGAATGTAAGCTCCTTAAGGGCAGGGACTGTTTTGTTTTGGGGTTTTTTTGCTTATGTTTGTAACCCCAGCATTTAGCACAATGCCAAGTAAATCCTGAATAAATGCTTGGGATTTTTTCATTGTTGTTTAGTTTAAAAGAAGGTGGCATATGACTCAGAAGGAGGAGAGGAAAGAAAATAATTGCTTCCCCCCCTTTCCCTGATTCCTCTCTTTAAGAGAAGGGAAGTGGGTAGAATCTATAGTGACCTCATTCCCCATGTAAAGACTTTACCTTTCATCACCCTTATACTCTGACCTCCCTCAGCCCTTTTCCCACACCCCTCTTCCCAGTACCTGGCCAATAATTCTTTGGTCTGATCCGTAAGGATGGCGCTGTCAGCTTTTACCATGCAGGCTAATGTGGAGATTACCCCAGCCTTCAGCAGCCGCTTCACCCGCTTTTCCACAAAGTCCTTCTTGTCCTGGGAAGATAGAGGGCAGGGGAAGGTGCTTAGGAGATTACTGGGTTCAGAAAACAGGATCCTGCCTCCAAGCTTCAAACCACTTTCTCTCAGCCTTAGGAATGGTAGAATGGTCTTAGAAATGGCCTGAATTTCCTCAGTAAAATGAGGGTAATAGATTTGGTAATCTCTAAGGTCTGGTCTAACTCTCATGTTCTATTGTTCATCTATGATTCAGACTTTTCCCATAGATCCCCTCAGCTCTACACATCCTCTCTTCTTCTTCCCCCTCCTCTGTCCCTAGTACAACTAGAAACCAGGCTCTGGGTCTTTGATGATGGGAGAGAAATTCCATTCATTTTAATTATCCATGCACAAGCTCTTTTTGTGGTGGCAAAGAATTGGAAATTGAGAGGATGCCCATCAATTGGGAAATGGCTGAGCAAGTTGTGGTATATGAATGTGATGGAATACTATTGTGCTGTAAGAAATGATGAACAGGCTGACTTCAGAAGAACCTGGAAAGACTTGTATGGTCTGATGCTGAGTGAAATGAGCAGAACCAGGAGAACGTTGTACACAGTAACAGCCACGTTGTGTGATGACTAATATTGATAGACTTAACCCTTCTCAGCAATACAAGGACCTAAGACATCTCCAAAGGCCTCATGATGGGAAATGCTATGGAGTTTGAATGCAGATCAAAGCATACTATTTGCTAATTTTTTTTCTTTTCTGTTTCCTCTTTCTGGTGGTTCCTCCTATTGGTTTTAATTCTTACTTACAACATCACTAATGTGAAAATATGTTTAATAGGAATGTATGTGTATAGCCTATATCAGATTACATGCTATCTTGGGGAGGGAGGTAGGGAGAGAGGGGGAGAAAAATTTAGAACTCAAAAGCTTATGGAAGTGATTGTTGATAACTCAAAATAAATTAATTTAAAAAATTATCCATGCACAAAGACTCATATTATCCAAAACATTGCCATCTTTCTTTATATTTGATTTGGCCTTGGGATGCTTTGAAGAAACTCTGCTTCCATTAGCTGGGGTGGAAAGGAGCTTACATTTGTAGTTCATACCATGACTATGTTGCCCCAGAAAATCAACCCTACAGTTAAAAATCCCAGACCTGGAACAAATCCTATGAGCTCACATTTACATAGTGATCTACAGTTTGCAAAGAGCTTTCCTTTCCTTACCACATCCCTAGGAGGTGGGTAATACTCATATTTCAAACACCCCGGACATGTTTGTTCCATCCAACAATGCAGCTCACAACCCACCTGTTTGGAGGGCAATGTGGTATGATGGAAAGAGAGATGGATTTGGGATCTGAGTTCAAATCCTGTCTCTGGTTGTGAGATCTAGAGCAAGTCAATTACTCTCTCTGGGTCTCAGTTTCTTCATCTGTAAAATGGGAAAGTTGGACCTGAGGCTCCTTCTGACTCTCGATCTATGATTTAATGTTAATTTCACTTCCCTGGGCCTCAGTTTCCTCACCTATAAAATGAGAGGATTAGGCATAATTGCTTCAGAGGTCCCTTCCAGCTCTAAATCTATTTTCCTATGAATCTCTTTGAGGGCCAGTATCTTCATCTGAAAAATGAAGGTGATGATAGTACAACGAGGAAACCAATTAAAGCATTATATATACGAGTTATTATTATTACCCCCATGTTACAGAGAAGGAAACTGAGGTTCAAAGGGTGCCTAGTATGTGTCAGTTTATGCACCTAGTATGTGTCCCGTTTCAAGCCCATGGTTCTGGCTCCAAGCCCCCATACTTACTCTGATACCCCAGATTCCCACACAAGGGGATAGCTGAGAGCTGATTGAGGAACAGCTAGAATCTGTAGGAACAGTAGAATCCACTGTTCTAGCAGAACACCTGACAACAGAATGTGCATAGACCAGTCACCCCCTGGTGTGAAATGACAGAAGGCCTGGCGGGGGTATGTGTGTCATTTGTGAGGCATTCTTTCCTCCAGAAGCTACAGAGGACCAGAGATTGAGAGGTGGCGGTGACCTGAGAGGCAATCTCGTTCTCATTTACAGATAAGTAACTGACTTGCCCAGAATCATACAGACAATATGTACTGGGGGAGGGTCTTGAATCCAGGTCTTTTCTGACTTGAAGTCTGGCTCGTCGTCTGATGCGGCAGGTGGGCTTTCAAGAGGAATAAAGACATAAAGATCAAGGAGATGAGAGGACGCTCTTGCCTGCCCCAGGTCCCCACCTTGGGATGTTCCTCAGGCACATGCTGCTTGGAGAACTTGGCCAGCTGCACCAGCTCGGGGATGACCTCCTTCACATCGTAACTATTGGTGCAGTTCACCAGGGTGGTAGCCACGGAGTACAGGATGGTCTTGTCACTGGTCTGGGGAGGAAATCAGGGAAGGTCAGAAGGGGAACCAGTTATAGGACCAACATGAAAACATGGCAAAACTCGGGATACTGCCCAGGACATGTTATTGTTGTTCAGTCCTGTCCAACTCTTCGTGACCCTATTTGGGGTTTTCTTGGCAAAGATTCTGGAGTGGTTTGCCATTTCGTTCTCCAGCTCATTTTATAGATGAAGAACCAAAGCAAACAGGATTGAGAATAGGGTCACTTGAAAGTGTCGGACTCTCTCATGGCACTCTATCCACTGTGCCACCTAGCTGAAGGACATAGCTGATGTCTTTTAAAATGTGGTTGATGATGGGATGCTGAGTAATTATAATGACCAAGAAGCCTGGCCCTGGAGAAGAGCTGAAAAAAATGTACCTCTTTCCCTTCTAGGAAATGGTGGGGAACTCTGGGTGTAGAGGACTGCATAAATTATCAGACTGTACTGATGCAGCACTTGGTTTTTTCAGATTGCTTTTTTACTTTTTTCCTATTTTTCATTGGCTAGGTAGGGAAGGAGGGTATATTTGATAATGAAAGTAATATAAAAATAAAAGATATTAATTTTTTAAAATGAACGTGATGGAAGGCTTCCTATGAACCCTTAATGGTACTCTTGAGAGTATTTATTCAAAGCCTCCAATAGCTGCTGTAGTGCTTGGGCTGGGGACTAGGGGTTGAGAGTACAGAAAAAGAACAAAATAATCCTGGCTGAACCTAAACTAGTCCCCTCCTCCACACTCTCTCTCAATCTCCTTTGCTCACGTTCTTTCCCAATTCCCTTTGCCTCCTACCTTTCTCCCTCCATCAAGTTTATAATAGTAGTAGGTAACATTTACATGTTGATTTAAGATTTACATAGTACTTTTCATATATTACTTCATTTGATCCTCAAGATACCCCTATAAGGTGGAGGCTATCATCATCCCCATTTCATAGATGAGAAGACCAAAGCTGACTTGCCCAGAGAGTAAGTGTCTGAGGCAGGATTTGAACACAAGTCTCCAAGACTCCATGCTCACACTCTGTCCCCTACATCAAACTTGCTCTCCCATCAAGTTAGCATGTTTACTGCCCTCTCCCCTTATCCTTTTATTGGGAGAGAGAAGGGACTATGCTTGACCCAGGGTAGGTGTGAGGGTGAGGATGGGGTAGGGAGGGAGGAACTGGTATTTGATAAAGAGAAAAGATGGGTTCTAAATGGTCCCTTCTAGACCAGTGAGTCATCTTCTCTGTTCCTCTGACTCAGATGAATGCCCTCTCTGCTACCTGAATATTATCTCCAGGTAGAACCCTGGCTCCTAGAGATTGAGGACCCCAAAGCCCTGGGAAACAATAAAACAACACTTGGACTTCCCTGAGCCTTGTACATTGTTACGCCTGTCTTCTGTTTAGTTTGATCCCTACCTTCTTAACTAGAGTCAGGGCAGGGGCAAAGAAGACTATATCCATCTCACAGATGACATCACTAAGGCTCAGAGATGGGAAATGACCCAGCCACGACCACATAGCAAGTCAGAAGCAGAGCTGGGATGCGAGTCCCATTAGCTTGACTCTCAAACCTAGACTTCGTCCTTATCCACTGGATGAGAAGCCTATTTTCTAGACTTCCGTTGGTTCCAGAGTTGGAACAGGGAGGGATTGAATTGAATTGATGTCCTTGGGGTCAAGAGTCTGTGATATCAAGGCCACACATGCCTTAGCTAGCTCGAACATGGCCTGTAAGGCAGGAATGTCCTGGACGAAGTCATCTTTCACATCCGCATCCAGTGTGAGGTAGGCCAGGCCCTCCACAGCCCAGCGCCTGGTCCTCGTATCTATGTTTACATTACACAGCCACCTGGGAACAGGAAGGGGCAAGTTAGTCCAGGAGAAGACCTAAGTGAGGACAGGCTGTAGGGCTGAGGGGCTATCAGAAGAGTCCTGGAAGGGGCATAGGCCTCTACTCCAAGGACATTGCTGAATAGACTTTCCATATTTCCATTAAGTAAATTTCCTTTTTGTTAAATTTAAAACAATTTTTTTAAAAAAACCCACTCATTTCATCACACCTCTCCTCTGCTCAAAAAATCTGCAATGGCTCCCTATTGCCCACAGTATCAGGTCCATACAACTTTACTGAGCCCCTGCCAAGAAGCACAAGAAGTAAGACCAACAGAGAAAAGTCCGCCCCAAGAAGGGATCCAGGACCCCCCATCCAGCCCTCTTACTTCCGACACTGTTTGGCGAGCTTCTCTGTGGAGCCTTCAGCAAACTGTCTGAGGCCGTAGTCGGTGCCCCCTGCAGAGCCAAGTTTACAGAGACCCTAGAGGGAAGATGGGACAGTATGGACCTGGGCATCGATGAAGCTCGTTGGGTTTGGGGAGGAGAAGGATGGTTAATGATGGTTGAATCACAGAAGAGAACTTTCCACGATATATCATTTAACCTCTGTTTGCTTCAGTTTCCTCAACTGAAAATGAGATCATAACAGCACATACCTTCCCAGGTTGTTGTGACAATCAAAAGAGATAATATTTATGAAGTGCTTAGCATGGACCTGACGCATAGTAGGCACTTGATAAATTTTTGCTTTCGGTTGCCCTTCAGGAGGGAGCTGAAGGAGAATGAGGGGGTAGGGGTTGGAATAAGGGTCTTTGTCTCACCACCAGAGTGCGGATCTTAATCCTCTCATTTTTGGTTGTCTTGTAGATGTCTTTGAGCAAGGTCACGCCATTGGTGATGATGAAGGTAGCTCGGCTGAGCTTGGTGGAAGCGTGAATCAAGGCCTCCACTGCCACCAGCTGGTCCTGCTCCCGATCAGAACCACACAGGGCCACCATCATCTCCATCACGCCCTTCATCCCCAACAACTGGTTCCCCAGGTCAAAGGGGCCCTGGAGGACCCCTGACACCGTCTGGATGGCATGCACATTCTTGTCCATGTTCTGGGGATCAAACTTGCCGCTTAAAACCAAAGAAAGGGGGTCCGTTATAAAGGGACCCTGGTTGAACTCCTCTGGGGAAGCTCAGGGGTAACCTTCATTCTCCATCTAAGGGTGGCCATCAACTATTTAATCAGGGGCTCTTTCTTTGTAGACCCCCTTGTCAGCCTATGGATCCCTTCTCAGAGTCATATTTAAATGCATAAAATAAAATGCAGGGTATTTGTAATACAATGTAATACAAAGGTTTACAATGATATTGAAGTACAGTGATCAAAATTTAAAAAAAAGTTCACAGAGGTCAGATTAAGAATCTTCACCTTAGATCAATGCCCCAAACCAGAATAATATGGGGACTTGGGTCAGATTGACACAGAAAAAGATTCACTGGAATTTAGGGAGAGAGTGTGGAATAATGAAAAGGTCAATGGAATGGGAGCCTGGGTCCTACTTCTATCCCCTCTCTCTGGGCCTCAGTTTCCTCCTCTGTAAAATGAGAGGGTTAAACTAGTTAATTTTGAAGGTCTTTTCCAGCTCTGACACTCCAGCCTTCTTTGACTACATGACAATCCAAACACTTTTATGAACTTAATTCAGTAAGGACTCATGATGAAAAATACTACCTACTTCCCAAGAGAGCACTGATGAACCCTGAGCACAGATTAAAGCTTTTTTTTTTTCACTTTTTAAATTTTCCTAAGGCTTTTTTTCAATATGGCTGATATGGAAATATGTTTTGCATGACTCCACATGTATTAATGAGTATCATATTGCTTGCCTTCTCAATGATTGGGGGAGGGGCTGGAGGGGGATAGAGAATTGGTAATTCAAAATTTTTAAAAATGAATGTTTAAAAAAATAAACTTTTTAAACTGGCAAAAAATAGTGGACAAGAATTGGTTGGAAATGGCTAAACAAATTATGGTATGTAAATATAATCGACCAATAAACATTTATTAATCACCTAAAAAGAGTGAATATAAAGTAAAAAAGAGACATCCATAAAAATACTTTAAAATATTTTTTCAATAAAGACTGTAGTATTAATAAAATATTTTAAAATGTACATTCAACAAAAAATAACTGTAGTATTAATAAAATATTTTAAACATTCATTCAATTAAAAGAGTAGTATTAATACAAATGTTTTTAAATGTTCACTCAATAAAAAGAGTACAGTATTAATAAAAATATTTTTAAATGTTCATTCAATGAAAAAAGAGTGTAACATTAATTTCAAATATTTTAAATGTTCATTCAATTAAAAAAGAGAGTAGTATTAATAAAAATATTTCAAAATGTTCACTCAATAAAAAAAGTGTAGTGTTAATAAAATATTTTAAAATGTTCATTCAAGTAAAAGAGTAGTATTAATAAGATTTTAAAATGTTCATTCAATAAAAAAGAGTATAGTATTGATAAAATATTTTAAAATGTTCATTCAATTAAAAAAGAAAGTAGTATTAATAATGTATTTTAAAATGTTTATTCAATAGAGTATAATATTAATGAAAATGTTTCAAAATGTTCATTCAATAAAAAGAGTATAGTATTAATGAAAATATTTTAAAACGTTCATTCAATGAAGAAGAAAAGAGTTTCGTAAGGGGAGGCCAGGGAGATGAGCCACACAATGATGCCAACAAAGCCCCCAGTTCCATGGCCAGCCTGGCCAATGAATGGGCAGCCTTGGTACTGAAGAAGAGTAAAGGACAATCCGCCTCCCTCCCTACCTTGCAGAGGTGGAGAACAGGGATAAGGAAAGTGAGATCTAGCTAGGTAGAACGATCTGTCCAGGAAACACAGCTCTGGTGAGTGGCGTGATCTCATGGGGACTATGGCTGATGTGGGGATTAGTTTTGCTGAATGGGTTTTTTCCTCTCTTTTTTAATCTTTGTTGCTGGGGAGAAAAGGGGAAATGGAGACATTGAGAAATGAGGGTGATGCTTTTTTGCGGAGTGCTGCATATACTGCTAGATTTTTTTCAAAGTATTGATCTGTTTTGCTGACCTCCCCCCACACCTCCCACTCCACTTCCTCTTCTTTTTTTATCTTAAAAAAAAAATTATTCTATGGAATGGCTCCCTAGGTGGAGAAAGAGGGAGGGATACAGGGGAAATTTAGAGAATGTAAAAACAAGAGCTATTAAGACAAATTAACTTTTTTAAAAAGAAGTAAATGTAATACAAAAACAAAAAGTGGACTTTTAAAAAAACGTCTGCCACTTAATAGCTGTGTCTCCCTGAGCAAATCACTTTACCTCAACCTCCTTATCCATAAAATGTAAACTTGATTCCAATCCCCTTCCCCCCACCTTGCTATTCCACTTTAGCTAGGGCCCTGTCCATCCAGCACCCTGTACTGGGATTTTTCTTTCTTGAGGTTTCTCCCCTAATGCTTGGAGTTCCTGTTGCTGTTCCCAATCACAGGCACTGCCATCCCAACCCATCCATGGGCAAGCAAGCTCACGTGATGTACTCTTCACAGATCTTGCGGAAGTGGTTCCTCTCAGGGTCACAACGGAGATCGTCGTAGAGCTTATTGAGAAGGATGGAGGCCAACATGCGGGTGTTGTCGGTCAGTGGCAGACAGGAGGGCTGCTCTGGTACCTGCCCCACCACCTTTAGGATCTTTCTCAGGCCTGGTGAAGAGAGCAATGAAAGGAGGGAATGAGCTCCCCTAACCCCACCTGAGGTCCATCCACACGGAAGGCAGCCTCTCTCCTCTAAGGGCTCATCACTGAACATCTGAATCCCTGGAACACGTACCTCTTGCCTTCCTATCCCTTGCTGCATTGGATCAAAAGAATAATGTTCCTTCAATGTCATTTTCAGTCTATCCCTCACAATGTCTGGTACTTGGTAGGCACTTAATAAATGCTTGTTGCTTGACTGACTGACCTGCTTTAGAGTCTCCAGTGGCTCCAATTGCCTACCAGATCAAATCCAGAGCCCTCTACACTCTCCAGATCCCAAGGGATTGTCATCTGGGTTCTTCTGATGCCTCTGAAGAACCCCAGGGCCATTCCATTTGCTCTCCCATAGCTCTTCCAGGCCATCCATCCTCCCTGTAATGGAACTCTCCTCCAACTGGAATACGAGCTCCTTGGGAACAGAAGCCATCTTGCTTTTTTTCTGTTTGTGTCCCTAGCACTTAACACAGTTCTTGATGCATAGTAAGTACTTAATAAATACTTTTTCATTTATTCATTCACAATTCATTCATACGTACATTCAGTCATATGTTAATTAGTTCATATGTTCATGAATATATTCCTTTATACATTTATTTATATATTCATTAATTCATAAATTCATTTATTCATTCATAATTCATTCATTCAAAATGTATATTCATTTGTTACTTCATATATCCATTCACATGTACATACATTCATTAATTCATATATAATATTTACTCATACATTTATTCATCCATATATTCACATATATATGAATTCATATGTTCATTCAAACATTTATTCCCATATTCGTTCATTCATGCATTTATTCATTAATAATTCATTTTATCCATTCATTAATTCATATAATCATTCATGCATACATTCATTAATTCATATACAGTATTCACTCAAGTATTTGTTCATACATATATTCATGAATATATTCATTCATACATTTGTTTGCATATTCATTTATTCATTCATAATTCATTCAATAGTATATTCATTCATTAATTCATATATTCATTCATATATACATGCATTCATTAATTCACATATAGTATTCACTCATGTTTGTTCATACATATATTCATACAGATATTAATTTATTAATATATTCATTCATTGATTCATTCATTGGTGGAAGGAACAAATCCCTGAAATATTGAAATAATCTTGCACCCTTTACACACCACAGGGATCTACCTCTGCAGTGATTAGTAGAGAGGAGCAGATAGAGTGGGCCCCCAAGCAGATGAATGGCAGTGACTTATGACCAAACCCTGGAGTACCCTTCTACCCCCTACCCCGCCACCTCCCAGACCCAGCTGCTCACCATTCTCTATCACATAGATGGACCGGGAATTGTCATGAATGGACAGGTCCTTCCTGGGGATGTTTTTGTTGAGTAGGTTCAGGGCCTGGTCCCTGCCCTGGCCAGATACTTTCTTATTGACCAGCATGTCCAGTAGGTGGCTAGCAATGAGCTTCAAGTCCTTCTTGGTGTCTAGGGAATGAGAGGGAAGCAATGATGTGGCTGGGGCTGAGAGCCTCTGTTAACTGAGGGAGTGTCGGAGGGAGGCAGAGTTGTGGTGATGGTTGGGCAGAACCTTAGTCAGGCATCTAGTGTCCAGTCAACTCCAGGTAGCTAGGAGGAACCATAGAGTGCTGAGCCTGGGGTCAAGAAGACCAGAGTTCAAATCCAGCCTCAGACATCTACTAGCTGTGTGACCCTGGGCAAACCACTCAACCTCAGTTTATCTCAGTTTTCTCATCTTTAAAATGGGAATGATAATAGCACCTACCTCCCAGGGTTGTTGTGAGGCTCAAATGAGATAATATTTGTAAAAAGTGCTATATAAATGTGAGTTATAGTTATGTGAGCCTAGGCAAGTTATTAACCTCTATCTGACTCAGTTTTCTCATTTGGAAAATGAAGGTGATAATAGCACCTCCATCTCAGGGTTGTTATGAGGATAAAATAAGATGGTATTTGTAAAGCCCTTTGCAAGCCTTAAAGTGTTATATAAATGCTAGCTATTTTAATTATTGGTATTATTTTGGTTTTATTAACCAGGCTCCCCCCAGCCTCTAAACTTGATCAAAAGGCCTTTTCCTTCTTTCACCTTATTCGGCTTCAGTGGTATGAAGGGATTATTGTGCCCATTCTATGGTAATTGGGTTGCCTCAGAGAGGAGAAAATTAAATTACTCGGCCAACGCTGCAGAGTAAATTAGGATTAGGTCAAAAACACAAGTATCCTCCGCAAATAGGAATTCATAGATTTACAACTGGAAGAAATGTCAGACGCCATACCAGGGGTTCTCCTGGGTCTCAAAGGCCATCTTACCAAGAACGAGCGCCTCTTCCTTCCCATGATGACCTCGCTTGTCCTCCCCAGACAAGGCATCGATGATGGTCTGAAGAAGGCTGCACACGGCCCGGGAGATCTCCTCTTCCTCCACCGCCATCCACCCACAGAGGCGATCCATTTGAATCGTGTGCAGGATTGCCATTGCCTGGAAGCCCCTCGGGGGATAAAGCCCCCAGATTCCCCATCAGCTTCTCCTGTTTCTTTGACTCTGACCCTCCCTATACCCTGAGGAAAAGGAAAGATCGAAGAGGACCCCACCCCCATCCCGCCTTGTGACACTTGGATGATCCCCATAGCATTCCCTTACCCTACCTGATCCCTTCTGCTGCTCCCCATCCTGAAATGGCTTCATATTTTTTTTTAATCAGCTCATAGAAATAATAATAGCTAACACTTATATAGGTTTATATTTAGATATATAGATAGAGTTTATAAAAGTTTATAAAACATTTCATGTTATTTTGTTTGATCCTCACAACAACCCTGGGAGGTAGGTTTTATTTTACAGGTGAGGAAACTGAGGCTGCGGGAGATTAAATGATTTCCCCAGGGTCACTCAGCTAGTAAGTATCTGAGGCAGGATGTGAACTTAGGTCTTGACTTTAAATATAGCCCTCTCTTCCCTACACCACCTAGCTGCCCCCTCTTATACAATGTAAGTTCCAGGGCAGCTAGGTGGCTCAGTAGATAGAGCTCCAGCCTTGGAGTCAGGAGGACCTGAGTTCAAATTTGATCTCAGACACTTGACACTTAATAGCTGTGTGACCCTGGGTAAGTCACTTAACCCTAATTGTCTTGCTGGAGAAAAAAAGCAAGTTCCTAAAGGGCAAGTGCTATTTCATTTTTGTTACTGTTTCCCAAGCACCTAGCATAGTGCCAACATAGAGTAAGCAGGAAATAAATGCTTGCTGAATGATTGACTGACTTGTATAATTCATCACAATGCATGTCCTCTCCTTGTTGTTGTTCAGTCACGTCAGACTCTTTGGGACCCTGTACACCACAGCATATTCATACCGTCCATGGGGTTTTCTTGGCAAAGATATTGGCATGATTTGCCATTTCCTTCTCCAGCAGATGAAGGCAAACAGAGGTTAAATGACTCGCCCAGGGTCATGCAGCATACAGCATTTGAATGCAGGTCTTCCTGACTCCAGGCCCTGTGTTCTATCCACTAGCCACCTGGCTGCCTCAAACCTTCTCCTAGCCAACCCAGTCCAGGCTTCCTTTAGGGAAGAACTGATAGAGTCAAGATCCCTGCAGAGCTCCTACTCACCCTTGCCTGATGCCCATCGCACATGCCAGACAGCGTCCGGATAGCAGCCAACCCCAGCTCTGGCTTCTTGGTGTCCAGTAGTTGCAAGATGAGGGCCACTCCATTGTTCTGGAAAATCTTCTCAGCTCCAGCATCTTCTCGGCCCAGGACGATGAGGTTGTTGGCTGCCTTTGAGGGGAGCGGGGGGATGACAATGGTTGTGAGAAAGTGATGGTGGGTGTGCCATGGCCACATACCAAGTACAGTAGGAACTAGTCCTGAAGGTGGGCACCTTTAAAGTGTGTGCTGGGAAACCTAGCCCTTGGTAAGTCAACTGGAAGCGTGTGTAAGTGCTAGAATTTGTTAACATTAATAATTTGTCATTTTTGTTGTTGTGATTCAGTCATTTCAGTTGTGTCTGACTCTTCATGACCCCATATTGGAGTTTTCTTGGCAAAGATACTGGAGTGGTTTGCCATTTCCATCTTCAGCTCATTTTACAGATAAGGAAACTGAGGCAAACAGGGTTAAGTGACTTGCCCAGGGTCACACAGTTAGTAAGCATCTGAGATTGAATTTGAACTCGGGTCTTCCTAACTCCAGGCATGACACTCTATCCACTTCGCTACCTAGCTGCCCCTCTATTCTATTCTTGCTCATGATAATCTCTCTGGTTATCTTATACAACTGACTTCATAAGCCCTCTGGGCTTCAGTTTCCTCCTTTGTAAAATGAGTAGGTTGGACCAGATGATTCCTAAAGTTGCTTCCAGCTCTAGAACCTGTGAAACCATCCAGTCCCATTTTTGGACCAGGAAACTGAGGTCCAGTAAGCTAAAGCAAGTCACCATACAAGGTCATACAGGTAAAGAACAGCAAAACCGGGATCTGAACCCAGGTCCTGACTCCAAATCTGGTATTCTTTGCACCATACCAGACTGGACTGGGGAGACAGGTGCCAGAGATGGTAGATCAGCTTTGTGTTTGTTTGTTTGTTTGTTTGTTTTGAGCTTGGGGGGTGGGGAGAGATGAGATTCTATAGAATTTGCAGGCATGCCCATGGCCTAAGGGAATAATTACACTTTATAATACTCTCCAATGTCCTTTCATAAACATGATCTCATTTGGTCCTCTTGAATTTTTAAATTAGAAATCTTATTTATATACCACAAGCATTAAATATTCTTTCCTTGTCAATCAATCAACACAATCTCCAAAACCATTTTGGATTTTCAGGCAGGAGGCCTCAGTTTGAATTCTAGCTCTGTCATGTGTAACACTGGCCAAATCACTTTCACCTCCCTCAGCTTCAGTTTCCTCATCTGTAAAATGAAGGGCTAGGTCAGATGGCCTTCCAGCTCCAAATCTCTGCTCCTCTGACCTATACCGCACTTGGAAGGTTGGCAAAGCACTGTGTAGACAAGGTCCACTTGACAATCACAACAATTGTGGGAGGAAGATGCTTTTATTATCCCCATTTCTCAGATGAAACAGCCTCAGAGAGATTAAGTTTTCACAGCTAATGTTCACACAGCTAGTTAGCATTGGCAAGAGGCAGCATCCAAACCCAAGTCCCTCCTGATTCCACACCGTATTTTTCCTGTCTTTAAAAAAATATATGTTTTACCCTTCTTGGAAATTCCCCTCCTAACTCCCATGGCCCCCTGTGATGTAGGTCGGGTAGCCTGGTGGATAGAGTGCTGTGCCTGGAATCAGGAAGATGAGTCTTCCTGAATTTAAATCTGGCCTCAGACACTTACTAGCTGTGTGACCCTAGGCAAGTCACTTAAAACCTGTTTGCCTCAGTTTTCTCATCTGTCAAATGAGCTGGAGAAAAAAATGCAAACCACTCCAGTATCTTTGCCAAGAAAACCCGGAGGAGTCACAAAGAGCCGGATACAGTTGGAAAACAACTGAACAACAAACAACAATTATGGGGCAGTGAGGTGGCACCGTAGTGCATAGAGTGCCAGGCCAGAGTCAGGAAGACTCATCAATCAACAGTGAGTTCAAATCTGATCTCAGATACTTCCTGGCTGTGTGACCCTGGGCAGGTCACGTCACTCTGTTTCCTCATTTGTAAAATGAGCCGGAGAAGGAAATGGCAAAACGCTCCAGTATCTTTCCCAAGAAAACCCCAAGGGATCACAAAGAATCAGCTACAACTCAGCAACAACAAAAAGGTGAAGCAGAATTGTGCCCATTTACCAGATGGTCTCTTGGGTTTGGGTCAGAAGAACAGCTCTCCAGACTGCAGTCTCTTGTTGGATGGACATTGGAGAGAGGCCCCTCTGGCTGGGGTCAGGGTGGGGAGGACAGTAGCTAGGCAGAGTTGGGGGAGGATCGTAGACAGAAGATGGGGAGCTTACCTTCTCACGCTTCTCTGTCTCGCTATTCTCATCCAATAAGATCTCAAACATCTTCTGCACCCTGGAATCTGTGGAAAACTGGACATGGAGCTGAGGAAGGAGAAGGGGAGGAGAACGGAGGGAGTCAATGAGAAAAGAAAGAACTTCAGCCTCATGTTAAAAGAATAGGATCAGACATCTAGAACTGGAAGGGACCCAGAGGGCATCTAATCTCACCCCCTCATTTTACAGATGAGGACACTGAGTCTCAGAGAAGCAATTGACCTTGGTCACACAGCCTCAGTGGTGGGATTAGAACCCAGTTTCTCCAACTCTAGACCCTCTCTTGGCTGAGCTCAGGCAGCCCCCAGGGCCCCCAGTTCCTTTTTCACTTAAATTCAAACTTCAAACATAGATTTAAAAAGCATCATTGCCCTCTACCACCTCCTCATCCTACCAGCAACCCAGCCAACCAGTACATTTATTAAATGCCTACTATGTACCAGGAAGGAGGATAGGTGGTATAGTGACTAGCAGGCTGGCCCTGGAGTTGGGAAGACCTGAGTTCAAATCTAGCCTCAGACACTTACCAGCTGTGTGAGCCTAGGCAAGTCAGTTAACTTCTGTCTGCCTCAGTTTCCTCAAATGTAAAATGGGGTGTGCTATTATGTTTTCCTCCCCGGGTTGTTGTAAGGAGAAAATGAGATAATATTTGTAAAGCACTTTACCAATCTTCCACTGGAGGCCTGTCTTCCACTCCCCTTCTCCCGTCCACAAGCTGCCAATGCCTTCCCTTTCGAATTACCTTCATCTATTCTGTGTATATCTTGTATGTAATGAGTTATTTGCATGTTCTCCCCATCAGAATACCGGCTCCTTGTGGACAGAGACAGGTGCTTTTGTTTCTCTCTCCAATACTTAAGCACAGTG